GTTACATGGGTAAATTTAAAGGGCGTCAAGAAAATAACTTTAGCGAAGTTTTATTGAAATCGGTACATTCGTTCAGGACCTACAGTCTATAGCAACGCAGGTTTTTCCGCCGTCATTTTGAAAGTAAAAGGCGGATAGTGATGTCGATGAAGGAGGATCATCCTCGGTGACCTCTAATTTTAAATCCAAATCTGAAAAAAAATCTGTCCAGTAGTTTCAGAGAAAACGCGACGGACAAAATTTTTTTTTATTCGTTTTTTGAATTCTACGCATCCTGAAACGTGATACCTCAAATTTTGAGAGGGGGTTAAGTTTTTGAATTTTTTGGTCGATCACAATGGTTGATTATTGAAAATAATAAACCAAAAAGTTGGCCAAGTTAATCAAGATAACAAGCACTAAGATTATAATTTTATTTAAAACTGAACAGAATAATAAAAAAAAAATCTAACAACTCACATTTAGTTTAAAAACTAATACAACCTATCATTGTCATATCGTCGGTTCCACGTCAAAGTATCACGGTTTAACATTACAGCTGTTGGTACTCTGCGGAACTTCCTCAAAACAAATAAATAAATATAAAAAATCTGGATTTCTGGATTGTAAAAAATTACACAATGCGTTTTCAAATCCAGAAGAGGAAGTACTAAATGTAATTTGATTAAGTTGATAGTGGACGAGTACTCCCTGAATTTTTTTTTTATTAAAATAAGATTTACGTTAGAAGGTGATGTGACATTCACATGGATTTAATTACAGCCAGACATTGAATCAAATTTCTTCCTTGATGTTAAAAACTTAAAAGATTAATATAAATTTTCGGTGTTGAGCACAAACATTTTTTAACTCCTCGCAATAATACAAAATTCCCTACTTTTTGATAAGTTTTCGTCCGAAATATTTTCACCTGGCCTCTTATATTGTCAATATATACCTCTTTGGATGAAGTTATGTGTACTTACATTTTACACCGTTGACCTTATGCTGAATTGAGTGTTATATTTCTCTTCCTTTATTAAGTGTTATAAAAATTAAAGATATAACTTCTACAAAATTTTAGAGATATGATATGGTCGACGGGATAATACCTAAGTACTGTCAAAACATTTAAAAAAATGACAATTTATATTTGTTCATCAAAATCGGACAAAGCTGATATCAACATAAATCAGTACAAACTTATATTATGAATCTCCTTTCTGATATTATACAATATTCACTTATAGTAGCAAAGATCATCAGGTGTTTGAATAATTTGCCTGAAAAAGTAAACACGTCTTAAAAATGAAAGTGATTTTCTTTTAAAAAAAAAAATGCACAAATTCAATCTGGAATAATAATTACTGTTTTAGACGTACCTTTTGCACGCTAGAAACTGTTGAACTGTTTTGGAGTCCTGGTATGTTCGATGTAAAATTCGTAATATATTCAGAGCCCTGAGATATAGAATGTTGCGGACCGGAAATTACCTAGCTCGTTGGAATCGCAGCCTGGCACCAGTGTCCATTTCCTCTCTTCTTTAGCAATATCTGATATCGTTTCAGGATCCAATGTTATTCTTCAATATGTAAACATACTGGAGAAATATGTTCTATTTAGCCGAAAACGGACTTTAGTTTAAAGAAATTCGGTATGGTATCAAAAAAGTTTAATTTTCTATTTAAAGCAAATATTAAAGAAACATAAACATTACAACGCATAGAGGGTTTTGGATTCAATACTTACTTAGGAAGTACTGTTTCATGGCCAATGATTGTTTAGGCATGTGATTTGGCTGTGATCACGCTCAATGGCTTTTTATCCTACGGTATCCTTTAACAATACTCCACTCATCCCTATTGAACAAACCCATTACTTAGGACTGTATCTGGACAAACTCTAACTGGAATCCTCATACTAGACTGAAACGACAAGAAACCGCTCGACGTTTCCAACTACTTTAGCATTAGCACTAGACAACCGCTCTAAACTTCCAATTAATTACAAAAAAAACAACTGATAAATATGATTTTAATGAGGCCTATTAGGACTAACGGAGTTGAGCTTTGGAGCTATGCTAAACCATTGAATTCCTGTCGTATCCAATCTTTACAATCCAAAATCCTTCCTAAAATCCTCAATGCTCCTTTCTTTGTCACTAATAAAATCATCCATAAAGACCTTAATGTACCATCTGTTTACGATTTGGCCCAATCCAGATACATATTCTTCCATAATATACTTCCGAACCATGCCAAGTCTGTCGTTTCCTTCCTTTCTTTCTTTTCGATTCCCTTCAACCCACCGAGGCATTTGAAAAGATGATGGCACTGTGATCTCCTAATATTATTAGAGTCTTGCCAATTGTTAGTTACTCAACAAGTGTTTTCATGCCATCATACTCATTGTTCACATTTGCTAGATGTATTTTAAGTTTTAAATAAAATTTTAGATATGAATAAAATTAAAAAAAAAAAGAATACCTACTTTATAGAAGCTGGTGTGTCCCAAGAGGGTTTCTTGATCCACGTCTGATGCAATACGCTAATAATACAATAACACAATAAATAATAAGCTGTCTTAGCTGGATTCGAACTCAGCACAAAAAATTTGCTTATTCTAAGTTAAACAAAAAATACTTGCTTTGACTACTTAACAGCTATTACATAATATTAGTATCCATTTTGTACAATTATCCTAGTTATGATTACAATTGTTAGGTTACTAATTACAAGGTTCTATATCTATGATCTAATGCTCACTTCTTTTTCTAGAGTGTTAAACACCTGAATCAGCAAAAGATCATTTTTCAGATTAGAAGGGACGAATGACCGTAGTCCATTCAGAAGTTGATAAAATGACGGTGTAATATCAGCTTACCTCTTTTTTTTTATCATATTTTTTTTGTTTAAAATTATTTATCATTTCTTGATTATTTATGAAGAAGTGAATTGTTAAGTAATAATGCTGCATTTTTGGTATCTTGATGGGTACGACCTTCCCCCTCCCCCCAATGTTTAAAATAATCCCATTTCTCCTCACCAATATTTTAAATGGTTCTGTTTGTTTATGGCTCTGTACGAGAGTGAAATAATTTAAAACTTAGATATTTGTTTTAACAGATACATAAGAATAAATAACCATTATTATTGTACGCAAGTAGTATTCATTTTTCTTTAATAAATATTTATTTAGCCGCGTTTAAACATTAACCAAACCATGACGAACACGAGCATTTACAAGTGTAGTTCTTGGCTGGCTTATGTTCACCTTTGCAACTCCAGATGTCGCTACTGTTAGTGCAAAAGGTCTTATGTAAAAATTTTATTTTTTTTTTTACAAAACTGATTATTTCTTTAGGATTTATTTTTATAATTTCATAATTTATTTCTCTGTACTATTTTCCATTGTAGTAGAATATTTATTGCAGTTGCAGACTAAAAAAGGTCACAAATAGCAGAAATGTAATTAACATAGAAAATTGTTACATACGAACTTTTGCACTAACAAAAGCAATATAAAATGTTACTTGATAGTCCGCGGTACAGACCCCTTTTTATCAAATTATTAACACCAGTCTGAAACTTCGTAAATAGCTTCATCTCATCTTAGCCTACAAACATTTTATTTACCAAAACTCTTGGAAATGGGGCGTTTTCAATCTGGAGCTCTTCAATCATTATCTATTTAATTTGGTATTGGAGTGCTATCACTGGGTAGTATCTCTTCAAGCCTGTTCATGTCATTAATTATAATTTGTGCATATTAACTAGTTGTATTTGTATACAGTTGTAAATTTCATTAAATAAACAAAAAAAAAAAAAATGGTACTAAAAACTCGTAAATACCAATTTTCTTTCCACTTTAATCTAACTTGAGCACCAAGTCCAGAAAAAAGGTGCACTTCAAAAATATTGAGCAGTTTGGCCTATATAACCTTGTTATTTTGACAATTTGGATGTAGGTCTCGGCGAACGGCTCAATATTTTTGAAGGCCACCTTTTTTCTCGACTTTATGCACAAGTTATCTTCCGATTAAAGTGGAAAACAAATGGCTACTTACGAGTTTTAGTATCTAATTAAATAGACAAAGTTTGCCGACCTCCAGATTGGAAACGCCCCAATTCCGAGAATTTTCATAAATAAAGTATTTGTAGGTTACGATGAGATGAAGCTATTTACGAAGTTTCAACCGGAAGTTAATAATTTGATAAAAATGGGTCTGTACTAAGGTCTATGATATCTATGGTAAGATCTGAAGTTTTGAGATAATTTTTTTCTTTAAAACATCTCGTATTTATGATTTTAAAATCGAATTGATCGGATAGTTCGCGAACGCTATGTTTTATCAATTTCATTCAGTTCTGTTGGAGAACTATCAATGAAAGATATAAGACTATTATTCCTGATACCAAATCAAAATTCCCAGTATAAAGTGTGCTATATTATAAATAGAATTAATATTATCGGAATGTGATTTTCACTGATTCACTGCCCTCCGTTACGGAGAAACTTATCAATGAAAATACTTGCATCAAGCCCGTTTGCTTCCGTTATAGAGAGCGTTTGGTATTTGGAGGGCCTTAATAATTTAAAATTATTTAAAAATTAGAGAAGTGCCCGTTAAGAGAAGTTTCACTGTATATTATGGTCCCTGTCCATAGAATAATTATCATAATTGGAACGGCCTCCATGGAAGAAAGTAAATAGAAAAAATATGACAGAGAAAAATATTCCTTTCTAATGTAGTATATAAATATATATATATATGTATTCTTCAATATATACTTAAGCCTCTGCCTTGCACCTATTAATTATATAAGGATCAAGTTAAAAAGTTATTTCTACTTTCTGGCTTAGATTACTAGATTCTCATCAGAGACCTTTAGCATATTTTAGTTTATTATATATTTTTTTAAAAGTATTTGTTCTATAAATGATATTTGTTAATAATAATAATAAAATAACCTACTGTTATTTGAATGTACCAACAATAATTTTTTTAAATTTATTTCTAGGACTTGGAGTTCCATGGGGTGATGCGGTTCTACTTTCAGGACTCCGGTCAGAAAGTGGCGACCAAGTGCATCCGGGTCGCCTCTGACGCCACTGCCCAGGTAGTCATAGAGACGCTCATCGAGAAGTTCCGTCCGGACATGCGAATGCTGTCCATCCCAGAGTATGCTCTCTATGAGATCCACGAAAACGGGGGTAAGTATTTTAATATCCTTCTATCCTAGATTGCTATTAGTTCAGTAAAGTTAGAGAAAAAAACAGCCTTACCCCAACATTAAAAAAATAAAGATGAAACTTGTTAGAAATTGTTCATTACTCTCTCCATAATAACTGGTATAAAATACCACAGAATCCCGCGTCGGGTTTTGATGGGAGAAGTGGAGTAAAGGACAGAAAACTGATATTTTTTTTAGTTTTTTGAGAATATCTCAAAACTATCAGGTTTTTCTCAAAAATTGTTGTTGCTTTCGGCCCCCCCCCAAATTAAATTCTGGATCCGCTAGTGAATAGAAGACATTAAAACTTAAAAATTATAAAAATTTATCATAAACCATGGTCTGATCATGATGGTCTGGTACAGAGAACCGGAAAACTTAAATTTTTTTAATTGAATATTATATTAAATAAAAATCAATAACTAGAAAAATATTAATTTAGGTTACAACCAATTACTTTATAGTTAACTAGATTAAATCTAAAATAAATTTTGTCTATTTTAAAAACATTTAAAGGTGACTTTTAATCGGTTAAATAAACTACGGTAACTTCTATTTTTCATAAAATCAAGAATTCTTCACGATTTATTTTATAAACTCAACTGGACTGAAGATACCACACTTTCAGATAAACTTCTTTGTTTGGTGATCTTTAAGTCTGTATTAATTAATTACCCGTGACGGTACTGTACGAGGTACATGGATCGACCAGCCTCATACCTCATACATAATTTTCGCTAACGTACACAAAATGTATTTTTCTGAATGAAGTTTAGATTTGTTTTATAATTATTTTTACTTATTTATCTATTTATATTAATATGTAATGCATTACTTCTGCATTATAGACAAATAAATTACAATTACATCTTCTTTAATTAGATATGATTGTTATTTTTGTAGAAAAAAAAATTGTTACCGTCATTTAAAAAAAAAAAAAATTCGATTTTTATCGAGTATAAAATAAGATATATCTATTATTTCCTTTATAAAACTACGTTTACGTTCTAAGTAAGCAAAATAAAAATTAATATTTATTAATTTCAATTATATGTTACCTAGTTTCGAACTTCGATAAATCATAATAATATGTTTTCTCTTTATTTTTAATAATAATAGAATTAATGTATCCATTAAAAAATTTTAATTTCTATAGAAAGTTTTCCATTAGTTTCTAAAAATATATGCACTTTTTTATATTTAATTCCATGCCTTAAATTAAAATCATTTTACTTCTTGACCCATCAACTTAAATAATGAAATAATGTAAACAGAGCCTATAATAGTAGGAAATTTTCAATAAGCAATGCATACGAAGATGTAGGCGGTATGAGGTACTAAGATTTGTCACAGAGCGCGCTGAGGTAGCAAGAAGCAATATACTTCTTAATCTCAAAATCTATTTTCTGTTATAAATGAAATATGGCATTAGGTAAAATTATCTTTTTAGTTGGAATGAATGCTGGTTTATTAACATTTACTTCAAAGAGTTACCTTGAACATAAATCAAATAAATTTAAATTAGTTAAAAACTTATTACTTTTCATTTGGAACTTAATATGTTTAAGGTAATGTCATTCTTAAATGTAATACTTATGTATTCAGTGTTTGTATGTTATATCATCTCATTAACGAAGATCTACTTTTTTAATTGATATAATATTTGTATTATATATATTTTTATGTTATATTTGCACAGAAGAAAGGCGGTTGGAGCCTGATGAAAAGCCTCTCCTGGTTCAATTGAATTGGCACAAAGATGATAGGGAAGGAAGGTTCTTGCTCAGAAGGATTGATGATAAAACTAATGTAAGTAATTTAAAAACTTTTGTCTAATGAAGTAATTGTCATCGTAAAACACTGTTAGTTTGGTTTACAGTTTATAATTTTTCAATATTTCCAAAAGTATTTGTTATATTAAAATTACTAACAATATTTTAAATAAACAGCATCGATAACAGATTCTCATACCATATAATAACTAAAATTAGTATAATAAATGATTTTTAAACAGCCTATGTATTTTTTAAGGAGCTTATTAAATTAGAATGTTAAATAAAGGAAGGAGATGGTCCGGGGTCTATAAACTATTTTTATTGAAAGCCGACGTTTCGACCCGACTTTGCAGGTCTTCTTAAGGGAGGTGTGGTCAGCTAGGAGTTTCACTTAGAACTGAGTAAAAATAGTTTTACCACTATTTAGCCTATTTATGACCGCCACCCCGGACCATCTCCTTCCTTTATAATGCTACAGTGAACTATTAAATATTCAATAGAATGTTAAATGTAGTTATTCAATTTTATCTTGAAAATTAATGAGACTATATTACATTTTAGTTCAATTAATATTATACAAAACAAAAGCTTTTTGGTCAAAGATACTTAAGACAGGTAAAAAAGAAATAATTTCAATACTTTATTATGACTGCATTGTATAATGCAAAGACATTCTAGATATTACTAACTTCATATTTTCAAGTTTATTTATTATCATCCAATTTTACAAATTTTTTTAAAATTTTGTCAACTTAATGACTACACATCTAATTACGACGTTTCGGCTCGTTGAGCCATTTTCAAGTCTAAAAAATGTTTAAAATTTACAATCATATTTAAAACATTACATATTTCAACATATAGAGATTCTTTTTTTTATACCTAAATACCAATCATGTACCTGTCCTTTTCACTTATGCGAATTGCATGCGTCTACTCATGATAAAATTTTTTATTTTTGTCATGTCTACCTTTAATTATTTTATAACATTATTATTACTCAATTATTTCTTATTAAATGATTCAAATAAGTTAAAATTATCTTATGTGTCACCGACATGTCATCAGTCTCATTTCTATTCAGTGACTGGTTATTCTTAAAGGAGTAGGGGAAGTCTATTTATTTTAAACCTATACATAATATGTTTATATACATAACATAAATATATATCATATGCATAACAGTTTTTTTGTCAAAGATACTAAGACAGGTAAAAAAGAAATAATTTCAATACTTTATTATGACTGCATTGTATTATGCAAAAACATTCTAGATATGACTAACTTCATATTATTGTAATTATAGTTCGACTACGATAGTTGCCAGCCTTTAGGCAAACTCGATTAGTTAAAACACTAACATGTTGTTTTTCCATAACCCTCCGACATTACTAATGTAATATTTACTGATAAATACATAAATTAAAAGATTATGGTATCATCTTTTAATGTATGTATATATTTGTAAATAAATCGGAAATTTACGGTAAAATGTTTCAACTTAATACTGCATGAGTTTGCCCTCGAACTAATCATAGTCGAATTAAAATTATATAGTAGTTATATTATATTTACTATTTTAATCCAGAAGACTATTCTCGACTTGAGTGATCATTGACCATATTTAAACCTTATGTTTATTTAATCATTAGATGAAGCAAGAAGAATAGTTCATATTTTATCAGGAGATAGTGAATTTTATTTATAAAAAAAAAAATTATTATTATCAGTAAAACTAGTTGCTATTAATTGAATCTTAGTCAAGCATAACCATGATTTTTACAATAAAATTCTGTACCTTTATATTAATTTATCTTCTCATTTTCAGATGCCAGAAGGCACTTTTCAAGAAGGTGGCTCAAGTTTTAGAAGAAAATTATCAAAAAGAGAAAAGAAACAATTAAAAAAGCAAGAGAAATTAAATAGAATGAAGAGCGCTGGACTAAACAATGATGAAAATGATTCCGGAGTGGCAGAAAAGTTATACACAGGTATGTATCTCTTTACTTAATCTTGACAAAGTTTATGGCCGGTTAAATTAATAAAATGTGTTCTACATTTATGAGTAAAATTTAAAAAGTTAATCTGAAGTAGAAAAGAGGTTACTGTAAGCCATGCTACTGTCACAAGATAACTATAACACGATAATCGTTCCACTTAGTTAGAATTAGAACTGATGCGGTCATTGTGGGTCAGTGTAGATTTCTTCCAGTTGATTGTTGGGCTTCATTTATTCGGGAGATATGTTGACTCTTTAACTTGAATCTCGATGCCTCAAATGCAATACAGTAGTATGTTCAGCAGTTTTTGGAATGCCATAATTGGGACATAGGGGACCGATATTCTTATTAAGATTTTGCAAATTCGAAACAAAAGCTCCTATGTCTGTTGAGGAATTGACCCTTCTGGTAGCTAGTTGAGACTGAACATTGGGTAAATATATCGACTGTGGATCAACTCTGGCATAGAATAATCCTGCTCATCCTCAGTCATGATGTAATCATGGCCAAATCACCTCCAGATTAATGAATTGTTTCATGAGATTTATTTTTGATGTTCCCAGATGCTCTCACTGACGTTCGGAGCAAGGTTGGTTATTTCCTAATTAATGCCTCTGTACAATATTGGGGAGCCCAGTACATGCTATATGACTGGGAGCCCTTTTCTTGTAAAATAAAAAAAATGAAATTTTTCAAGTAGGAATATTCATGAATGATGCTACTTGTTACTTTGTTGACTTTTTCAAATATTATTTCCTATTAATCACCTTGAAGGGGCAATTAATTTTAGTGGGTTAGTTAAGTAGATAATTGGAACATATACCATGATAAGGGACCAGTCTCATGCCTGTTGATTTGTTGCCTCTCTCCCTATGCCGCCGCTGTCCTCTGGCTCGTCTAAGCCGTCTCGTTTCCTCGCCTTGTCCGGTGTGTTTCAATTGACGTCCAGTTTATGTGTGTAGATGAGTGTAGTTGAAAGACTGTGATTTTTCTCTCTTTCTCTCTGTTAGCCGTGAGCTGTGAGGTCGGCAGAGCAAGTGAGCGTGAGGCCATGTGCTAAGTCAACTATCTGAACTTTAGAGGTAGATAACGCCATCTTCGAGAGGGAATAGGAGAGGATGAGACCGGAGGGCTCCCATGTTATTTATACTAAGTAAATTATGATATAATGCTGAATATTATAAGTAATAAAATTTGTGGATGTAAATCCAACAGCCTCCTTAGTGGCTCCCTATTCTAATCCCTGAGAGCAAACAGGTGATCTTATATTCTTGGCCTCTTCACCTTGTGTTATTCTATCCACACCTCAAACATAAGATCTCAACCTTCCAATTAGTATATAACCTTTCACAGAACATCTTTTTTTGAAAAGTCCTTTTTGAATCGAGCTCCTTCATTTTGTGATTCTTACCTATCTCTTTTACTAACTGCATTTAAACATGACTTATTTTTCCATCTCTTTAACTATCAATCTTTCGTGTATACAGAGTGTCTCTGTTCTAAATAGCCAAACTCTAGGAAGTGATTCTAGACAAAATATCCAACAAAAAAATTTATTTGATGCATGGGCCGTTTCGGAACGGAAAAAAAGTTAATACCAATTAGTAGAAAAAGTTTTTTTCAGTCTCGATAAATAATTACTTTGTTTGAAATTTATCCAAATTTTTGCCTCTTCAGGCATAATCTGATTTTACATATAATTTAAATTTTCATTCGCTTACAGCAGTGCATCCACTTTCACACTTAGTCAAAGAACACAACAGAATTCTTATGTCTTCCTTAAAGTGGTCAGGTTTTTATTGAATAATAAGGAATTGATCAAAAACTGATAAAGATAATTAAATTCTAAGTACATCATTGTAAAGTAGACTAAGTGTTTTTGAGAAAGCATTGATAAAATTTACTGTGGTCAATGATAAAAGAAACTTTCAAGAGGTCTAATCCGGCTGTTGTACTACTACAGTTACAGTAACCATACCGGAGCAGCTTATCTATGTAATCCCGATTCTTGAAATAACTCCGCATAAAAGTAGGCTTTGCGTTATTAGTCCTCCTGAAAATCCCTTTCATCATTGACCTTAGTAAATATAATCACTGTTTTCTTTAATTTTTTTTTTTATGATGGTGTACTTAAAATGTAATTATCTTTAACAGTTTTCGAGCAATTCCTTTTTATTCAATAAAACTTTTTCGTTGGAAGTTTTGTCTATAATCATCCTCTAGAGTTTGACCATTAAGAAATGAGAGGCCGTGTATACATGGAAGAAATCTCCTTGTAAACGCGAACAATGTATTTACATAACTTCTCAATTTGTATTTACATTTCCATCACAGTTAAATTTACTTATATTTTTATCACACATGTATTTGTTTTTAATTTATATTTTAAATAATTTTTAGCAATGCCACCAGAAATATGCTAGTTTCAATATAATATACACTTATTATTCTTAAGGAACTAAATTCCCCAGAATAAAATTAAACTATTCTATTTCTTTTTCTTTAATGAAATCAAGATCTCTTAGCATTGTAATAATTTTTTATTTTTGTACTAGTACATTCTGTCATGTAAAATCACGTAATATGATTGTGTTGTCCTTGAATTTTTTTTTAAAATTCATTCTTTAGAATTATTTATAAAAGAAAAACAAATATCCTTCATGAGTTCTATTTATTACTATTACTTTTTATTGATAAAAATTATTAAATTTATTAATAATTCTATGTATTGATTATTGAAGTAAAACAAATAAAATGAATTGATAATTTTAGGTATTGATTATTAAAATGGAAAATATAAGTATCTATTATTACTTACTTTTTACAGAATTACCAGAGACAAGCTTCACCCGGTCAATATCGAATCCTGAAGCTGTAATGAGGAGAAGAAGGCAGCAAAAACTTGAGCGAAAATTACAGCAGTTCAGAAGCAAAGATGGAGGGCCAGATACCGGTGGCACTCTAAAGATTTATGGGGAAGCTCTTTGCAGAGACGTTCCCTACAAGACTCTCCTCTTATCGATTGGAGACACAGCTGCTCAAGTAGTCAAAGAAATGTTAATGAAATACGGACTTGACAAAGAAGAACCACAACACTACTGTCTCCTTCAAGTAATTATTATTTGTTTGAAGCGTACACTATTTTTTCTTAGTCTATAATTCATTCAATTTAAAAGCAATAAAATTAGAATTCTTAAACAAGAATATTCATTCTTTTGATTGTATTTCTTGGTAGTTGTAGATATACACTGTGGGCCACACTCCCCTACCATGCACTCCCCCTCTCTCACATCCCTATCAATTGCATATTGTTGTTTATTTTTTAACTACTTATTAAAAAAAAAGCCAATATTCCCACGAAAAAAGTGAATGCACTGACCCTAAATGGCATCCAAAGATGGCAGATTGGTGACTGACTTGAATTAATTTTTTGGTCGCTGATAATCAGCATTTGGTTTAATTCCGTCATAATTGACTTTTTATTAAAGCTGAATCATCTTAAAATAATACAATATTAATAGATTTAGGCAATAAAAACCACCGGTAAAGTCAATATAAAAAAAAAAAATTCAAATTGAAAATGAAGCGTCGTTTGTAATTAATTGGCCAACGAAAACGGAAAATGTTCTGAAATAAAACTTCTGGAGAATATATTTCTCTTTCTAAAACACTGATAACTTTTTAAAATATTTGAAGTGGTTTTGTAGAAAATGCACTTAATCGGCAGAAAAGTGGGCACTGGCGTTGGTGCCTATAGGCCTCTACCATTCAGTGCTCATAAATGGTTTAGTTATAATGCTATAATAACGTTTTTGGTACATTATATTGATTTTATTAACGAACAAATATTAATGCAATACTTTAATTATCCAAAAAATTAAACAATTTTTTTTTTAATTTAGTTTCCTTTATTCTATAACAAGGTCGTTTAAGACTGTCTCTATTGTAAAAATGATATAATTATAATAATAAAATTTAATTCAAAAATACTGTGCTGATTATCTTTATTTTTATATTTAAACGTTTGCAATTTAAAACTTTGATTTGTATATTTGCTGGTTCTTAGAGATAAGTTAAATTGTATATACATTCCCGGAAATGAGTCATATTAATACCTGTTTTATAAACTAAAATATAATTAATCTGAATTACATATAATGAATAGTTACCGGGTTATTTGATAAAACTCATATATCACTTATAAAAAAAAAAATTTCATTTTCCTTTATTTTGTTTGGTGGTTGGGCCATATCATAAAAAAATTGGAAACTTTAATTTTGAATGCTTCATTCTTTCTACACAAAGAAAGATGGAAAGGTCGAAGCTGTATGTTCTTCTTGGTAACCGGAACTAATCGTTAGTATTTAATATTAAAATGAGGGAAAACACGAAATCGTACCCAATTCATTGAGCGAATGAGGAAGGAATTGCCAAAATATCAGAAAAGAAAACAAGGATCAGTATCCATTATATGACTAAACGAATATATAGTAGACAGATGAACAGAATATTTCAAGGAGCTGCTAAAAGGGGCTCAAATGCAGGGGGGAGGGGCAGATTTGATGATATTAAGAGGACGAATATAAAAAATGGTGAAGACCATTTTATTTATGATTGCTACTTTAGTTCCACATTTGACTATCTTCACTTTCAAACAGGTTATAAAGAGGTACATCGAAAAAGGGAAATAGCTTTCCTTCTGTTTAGTGAATTTGGATAAGATCTTCGTAGTCATCAGAAAGAAAACATAAAACCAGCTTTTCTGATGGACTAGTAGATATTTGCACAATCCAAGGTGTGAGGCACTAAGCAGATAAAGTATTATTTCCCCTTCTCGATGGATTTATCTATAACCTGCCTTAAAGTGAAGATATTTCCAATGAGCAACTTCTGTTCCAATGTGAAACTTGAGTTTCTTAATCCATACCGCTCAAGCAATCGACTATTGTTTTTTTTATAAGTCTGAGTATTTCTAAATCTACTATGATTGTTGAAACAGATTTTTACCATATTTGAAAATGTTTTAAATTACTTATAGAATGATGAGGTGCACTTATACCCTTTTACAATCAACTAATTTATTCATATTCTTGAAAAATTAGCTTGAATGAATGTTTAAGGATTCTGCGGATGCGGTAAATAAAAAACTACAAAAAAAAATATATCTTTATTAAATAAAAACACATTGGTAAAAAAAATTAGAAAATAAAAACATATCTCTGAATGCACATGCAATAATAAAAGGTTTAGCGAAATCTTTTATTATTATTGCATGTGCTTTCAGAGGTATGTTTTTATACACAGCAATAATATAAAAAAAAAAATAGAAAGCAAGAAATTAACTAAAGCTAAATTAAAATTTGTACACTACTGAAAAAAATGCATTACAATTAGTAAAACTGAATACAGATTACTAAATTACAACTACTGTAGTTTATGAGCGCTCACTACACTGTGATTACAGGTCACTAATAATAATAAGTAATGTTCATTAACTAGTGAACCAAAAAAAACTATATAGTTTGTTAAAAATTGTGATAGCACTAAAAAACAACAGACAGCTAGAATCAATCTCTCGATCCAAAGAGGTTGCACCTGCTTTCGCATGGTATAGGCTAAGTTGTCTTGGACTTTTGTCAGTAGACAGAACCCTAACAAATGAATAAATGAAAAAATAACTTTATTCTGGATTTTTTTTTTTTTAAACTTATTTATTGAAAAATATTACAATCTGTCTCTAGGACATTTATAATAGAGTTCACAGATCACATTCACACTCTATGTACAATAAATTATACAGAAAAATAATATATATACAATAAATAAGAATAAAATAACCTAAAAATAAATAAATAAAAAGAACACATACACACCTATATACAATATCTACAATTTGGCGAGAGAACTCCAAACCAGACTTGTCCCTCCAACTGTGGAGGGAAAAGTATGACTCCAGGAATTAAAGTCCCTTAATAATAATGACATTGGCCCATTAGTCTGGCTTGACAAAATACAAAGAGTTTCTTGTAATTTGAATGTTAATTTCAATTGCACTTATGTCCTTTTGTATCAAATAATCAATAACAATTTGTCCTTTATTTTCAAATTAATATAACTGTAGACAAATGTTTTTATATTCAATATAATGTAAGATGAGCTGTTCCGTTTCTTTAATGTACTAAATTTTAAACTTTATAATTTCAGGTTAATTCAGCAATAGAAGAGAACAAGGACACTAACCACAGCACAAATACACTGAACCAAAGAGAATATATTTTGGACGATGACGAATGTCCGCTGGCGATTTTGATGAATCATCCACTATCGCGGGGTAAGTTTCTTCTCTTTGTTTATTGTTTCTGATTTATTCAGGACATCATGTTTAATTTACCATTTTTGACTATTCCTATAAAATATTATGTTACTATAAGTTTAAGATATATTTAAATTGGTATTGCCATATTTGAGAGAGATTGAACATCTTGGCACATGCTATGATGTCAAGTATGACTTGAAATACTAATAATATTGTCGAGATGGGTAATTTAGTGGGAATCAGAAGGATTCTACTCTGTACAATCAAATGGTGTGCAGTGATTATTCTCTATATTCACTAACAATTATGCAAGTTGAGGGATGAATCTTATGACCCTTAGGGGTTTGATGTACAGTTTTAAGGATCAACCTTTACATCCTTATCCTTCTGTTAACCAACCTATCCTAACCAAAGTGTAAAAGCTGCTGGATTTCAGCTGGCCTAGATGATGTCTTAACACTCGGCTCTCACAGCGAAGACATCCAGATAGGATAATATTGGAGCTAACACACCCTATTTTGAAACCTATGTATATCAAAAATAGAAATATGCATATAAAAACAAATATCATTTATTAATATTTGTAAATAAAGAAAACAAAAATTTATTTCTAGAGACTAGATATAGAAAATCAATTAAGCATTGAAAAGAATACATAATAATTTAGAGATGGTTGACCGTGATATAATATGAGGAGTTGATCAGGAGGTGCTGTCAAATAAATACTAAATTTTAAAAAATAGTATTTTTAATTATTACGCCGACGTTTCGTTCCACTTTGCAGGTCTTCATCAGGGCTAGGAAATAGATACAAAATATAAAAGGTACATGGTGAAAATAAAGTAAATGAATTATAAGTAGATATTAAATGAGAAACAGTTGTCTGATAAAGACATAATAAGATGACATCAGAGATATAGTTAGTGACAATGTAGTTAAATTATATATATATAGAAGATACAAACAAAAATAGTAAATAAGTATGAATAAAAATAGAAAACAAAGGAGAATATAGCGTGTAAGTTAAAATTAAACAGATTCTGATAAAAGATGAGAAATGAGTGTATAACAAACTGGTAAAGATTACATTTGATAATTGTAGGTTAACAAATAAAGAAAATGAGTGTTGACGAATAAAGAAATTTCAATTTGTTTGTCACAGTACATTGTCCCCCACTATATCTCTTATTATGTGTTTATCAGAGAACTGCTTCTTATTTAATATCTACTTATAATTTATTTATTTTATTTTCATCATTTACCTTTTATATTTTGTATCTTTTGCAGCCCTGATGAAGACCTGCAAAGTGGGTCGAAATGTCTGCGTAATGATTAAAAATACTAATTTTTATAATTTAATATTTCTTTTACTTCACCCTCTGACCAACTCCTTCTCATTGAAAAAATAATTAAAAATTATGAAAGTAAATCAATATTAAAATAATTACCAAAAACTTATATAAACATTCATTACTATGAACTAGATAATAATAAATTATATTGTTCAACATAACAAAATGAAGAAAATAAAAATTGAATTAATAATTGCAATCTAAATTTTCATTATGGACCAACAAAAATAAAAGACCAACCAAATAAACCAATATTTATTATGTATTAGGTTAAAAAAAATCTCATATATATGTGATAACTGAATTTTTTTTTTTTTGTAGACATTTTTAATTTTATTTTCTATTAATGTTTTGGAAAATATCTGTTTTTGACAGTCAAATTTAATATTGATATATCAAAATATATAAAAATATCAATATATTTAATTTCAATGTATAAAATTTCAACATTTTTCCTACATTGCTAGAGTATATCTCTAGAATAAATTTTTATATAACAATAATTTTCTTTTTTAAAATGTAAAAACGCTTTGTTAACAGAAACATCTATTTTTATTATTTTTGTTTTTATTCTGAACTGGTTATAATCTATTTTATAATTTATACACTTGTCAGTCTACGTTTTGGTTGAATTGGTTTTTGTAACATTTATGATTAACGTTAACATTTTATGATGGATTTTTAGCTCGTATTGTATATGCAATGTCTTCTCATATTTATAATATACGTTGTAATTATAATAAAACACTGTTTAGAAAATGAATGATGTGGGAGGGAAATAAATGGCTGAGTTTCTTCAATGATTCAGTAAACTTTCTATAATTAAATGAAAGAAAAATCATACATAAATCAAATATAGCTATTCAATAATTTGTGTATGCCTGCAATAGTGTAATATTAATTTACCATTTATATCAATTAGTTTGGTAAATATAACTATAAAGTATGAACCCTGAGTTATTTACTCGTTTAGTTAAAATATTTAAAACAGTATATTTCCTGAAAACCTATATAACAGTATATAAACCTGGGTTTCATATTATATGATTTGTAACCAAATAAATTTTTTTTTTATTAATTATTGATAAATTAATGCTCTAGCATTCAAGAAATGTTTACAAAGTGTATTATATTATACCTAACTTTCAAATTTTTAGGATTGACTCATGGACGTTAACCTCCTTATGTTTACCTTAAAATTTGTCATATTGTGCTGTTATGATATTATAGATTTAATATTAGCAAAATGTTGCATAATTGAACTATTGTTTACATTTTTATATTATGAACACATTTAATGCATATGAATAATATTCTTATTTTCTTAATTTAATTGATTAGAAATAATTCTAAATTATTAAAAATAAGAAAAAGCGTTTTTGCATTAATCTCATATATTATTACTTATTAAAAAACTATTTATTTAATTCTAAAGAGAATTAAAACTGTGTAATCCTTTACTTAAGTTGAGAATTATAAAATTTGTTGTGTTGCTCATGGTTTATAATTTAATTAAATTAAAAAATAGTATGAAATTACAGTTATTGTAAGTTTTTATATTCAAGTTTTAACTAAGCAATATTGCACCCGTGAATTCATGACATTGGTTTGATTAAATTCATCTGGACAGTGTAATTTGATAAATATTGCTATTCTGTTTATTTTTAACTTGTTTTGACGTATTGAACTGTTATCGTTAAAAAACAGATCGGCACTTATATTGAGCTAGGATCATTTATAGTTTGTTTTGGAGAATAATAACGTCAACAATGATTACAACTTCCGCTAAGATGATGATCATGTAAGCAATAGTTTATGCTTGTTTTTCTAATTTTTATTATATTAATGAGATGTTATCGCCACCTATATCTGTTTATTTCCATGTAGAAGTATTTTAATTACTCCTATCTTTTACTTTTGACTTATTTTGTCTGTTCTCTTTCATGCTTTCTTTTAAATTTTATCTTGGACATCGCTTTCAGTGAGCATACAACCAACAGGTATTTATTTTGTATACTGTGAATGGAGTTTCAATAGTTTTTTTCTTATATAATTCATTATCATATATAAGATAGTTCATTGTTATTTGTAGCTTGCACACAATTAGATGGCAATCCTAGTGCTAAATGATGCTGCATTTAGTTGGAACTGACATTGCTTTTTTTTTCTTTCACTTTATTTACAAATATTTATGTATTATGTTTGTATTTGTAAGTTATTTTTGTAATAAATTGTCAGAACTTATAAATTTTTTAGAACGTAGACTTATACTATATAAAAAAAATCATGACAACCCAACTATTGAGTATCCATGATAAAGAATAAACATCCGTTCCACAGGATAACATGATAAAATTATATAAATCATACAAATAATAAAAAAAAAGTAAAGTTAGTTTTACCTTATGCAATTTGTTCCTTTAGAGACTAAATCGATTTTTTTATTTTTTAATAAATATTCTTTATTTCTTAAATATTGCTACCTTACCACTGAAGGTAGTAGGGAAGCATTGTATTCTATTGAAGTTCAACCAGCTTGTCGTGGTCTTCATTTCCTCCTTAAATATCATAGTTGTGTGAACTACATGCATATTTTTATATTCCAGCTTGATTAGTTTTGTTCTCAATGAGGAAAAGTATAGGTCTCGTTAACTCCGAACAAACAACAAGTTGAATTTTTCCTATGGATTTTTTTTTTCATCCAATTTATGAGTGAAACTATTAAATATATGTCACTAATGTTAGCGCAAAAGATCGTATGAAAAAGTTTCAATTTTTGTTATTTTTTTTTACATTTTGTAGTTTGCCATTGATTTAAGTAGTCTACTACTATGAAAAATAGCAGAGGGCAATAAAATATAAAATTATACTAATAAATAATAAAGAAATAATTAGTTTTTATGCTCTCCTATAAAACACTCAATTTTTACATACAAATTTTTGCATTAACAGTAGCAATATGCATGTTTAGTATGCAGTGGAATGTTATTTTTAATTATTAACCATCGAGTATGCCATCTGGCAAATGCGGAACTCTTTCACATTTTAGTATTTGCTGATGAACAAAATCGTGGATATCAAACCCGCCAATGTTGAGGGATTAGTGCATTTCTGAAAATGGCTTCTCTCAGTGATTTTATTCTCATACGAAAATTTTTAAACCTTGTAATATAAATAGTTTTTAGCCAATGAAAACCGAGAGAAAGCTATACTGACCTTACTTGGCAGATGTTTTTTTTTGTTGATAACAATTCAACAAACAAGTTTTATATTTAAATTAATTTTATAAATAAAAAATAATTATAAATTATTAATAAAATAATCGATTAACAAAGTTTTCTATATTTTTTTTATCGAACGCCAAACATTAATGTTTTCATTATTATTGCCCCTGATAATATCATTTAAATTCCTTCAAATCTTGGTGAAATCCTTTTTCTGTTCTTGCTCTGAACAGGCACCCATTTTGTTATTGCAAGTGAACATATAACATTAGCTCTTTAAGAGATTTTATGCAGCCCATACCTTTTTAAGTATTCCATATATTCATTTTAATTCCAAGCTTTATTGTTTTGATTATGCCACGAAACACTATTTTGAGACTATTTCAGGCTTATTATTGTGAGTATTGAGTAACTATATTAATTCATATGTGTTATTTCT